AGAGCCCCGGGATTCGGTTGAGGGTTTACTCGGAGGCTCATGGGTAGTTATAAGTAGGGTTCTAAGTCCCCTAATGGGGTTATAATTATACTAGGGGTCATGGATTCGGTTGAGGTCCTCTCAACCTTGCCGTTGAAAAGCCCGGCAGTCACTTGTCAGGCCTGCGATAGTATTCCGTATAGTTACCCTCATAGTTAACGTTATAGAACCCTTTAAAGGAACCCTGTTCCAAATTTATTAAGGCCGCTTTTTTGAGGAGCTTTGCTGGCGGAGCATTTCGCGGAACTGCCAAGCATCCGATGCCCACCTCAGGAGGCTCTTCCCGATGACATGACCGAAGTGCGTTTAAGGGGTTTGGGGTTTTAGGGGTTGGACCAGGTTTAGGGTTTGGGGTATCCGACCAGTGTCTGCATGGTTGGAGTTGGGATGCCGTCTGTTGGAATGGTGTGCGCATTCTCTGCAGTGGTCAGTGTTTCATTCAGAAAGCCTCGCCGTCGTCAGGCCTCGCTTTGTCGTGCATCGCAAGAAGCCTCGGGTCCTCAAAAGCGTGGGGCCGACACAAGTCCTGAATAATGACCCCCCAGGTACCTACTATATAGGGCCCTAGGGGCTCTAGTACCCTATATAGTAGGTACTTAGGGGGTTAGGGGAACACTACAGCAGGTCTGAGGTTTTATCTAGCAAGATCCCTTGGGCCAGCAGGCGAAATAAATCTTCCCTCCAACAGGAAATTCAGCAACACCTGTGTGCATGCGATGGGAGCTACTCGCAGCAACATTATCACTAAATATTAGTCACTATCTCACAAGATGCATTATGGTTATAGCCTGGTGTGGTAAACGTCACAACCCAGGAACAGCATGTCTGCAAATTTTGAAGCATGTTAGAGAACTTAGGCTTGAGCATTCCAAAGCCAAAACCATTCCTGCAAGCTCCAAAGCGTAGCGTGAGCCGACATCGTGAGCTTCCCCAGCGGAAGCACCACATCTTAGCCCTAAAACTCGTGTGTCTTCATCTGGCTAGGTGGACGCACAAGGGACACTTTGCTTAGCTCCCCGGCTGCATCGAGTCAATGCGACCTCCTCCAGGATTAGCGATACATCGTTCAGAAGCAGCTTGACCGATTAGGCGAGAGGCTAGCAAGGGAATTCAGCCATGAAGTGCAACAGCTCAGCATAGCCATGGCAGCACCATCGTTATGAGGCCGACACGTAGCTGTGCAGTCGACAGCAGAGTTCATGACGACAGCTGTATATCACAGTAGGGTCATCTCTGTGTGTATGTATATATATATACACAAATGTACATGTGTATCTACCTAGAGCATGTTGAAATGCGAGGTGTGTGTGTGTGTAGGTATGCGTGTGTGTGTGTGTATATATATATATATATATATGCACATGTACACACACACACATCCACACGAACATACCTACATACATATATACATCAATGCATGCATGCATGCATGCA